TGCTGAATTTTATTTGCTTCCGCACATAGATGGAAGCAGTAGTTGCTTTGCGACGTCACAGAATCGCGAAGAGAAAGAATGCAAGTTAACTTATGGCACTGAGGATTTGAAGTTAATGAGAAGACCAACTCGCAGGCAAAGCAATTAGTCGAAGGTAGAAATAGTCAATTACTGTTACCAGGGGCAGATCTTAAAACCCAGTGGAAAAATAAAGTCAAAGGGGAACTTCACAGTTTCTGCCAAAACACCAAACGGGACAGAGGAGAAAGATATTATAGGAATGGCTCATCTCCCTGGTTCAGCGAGGAAAAAATTAATCGTCATGCATTCGTATCCATTCATATCAATAACAGCAGGTCACACCAGTCTTAAAGCAAGCCTAAGCAAATTGAACATTGGTCCATGGTCAAATGCGAATGTGGTGATGGGTTGCAAACGGAGGAACATGTCTCCTGAGATTGTAAACGGTACAGGGACCAATGGGCAACAATGTTGGACAGTCGGTCTGAGAACAGCAAAAAAGAATACTCAAAATAGTTACAGAGCTCTTAAAGGATAGAAGAAAAAGAGATATGTGCAAGGCGTCTGTTACTTCTTAAACAACATTCCTATGTTTATTTAAAAACAGATATATGAGAAAAGAAATGAATTACAAAATAATAATAGTATACTCTCAGATTTAAGGGTGAGCCGGGATAGCGTAGTCGGTATCGGTCGGTATAGCGACTAGCTACGGGCTGGACGACCAAGAGGTCGGAGTTCGAGTCCCGGTGGGGCCAAGACTTTTGTCCACGTCGTCCAGACGGCCCAGACCGGCTCTGGGGTCCACCCAACCTCTTAACCAATGGGTACCGTGGGTTCTTTCCCTGGAGGTGAAGCTGACCACTCACCTCCAACTAATGCCGAGGTCAAAAAAATGTGGATCTATATACCCACTCCCGCATACACCATATAGTGCGTAATTAGTTAAACACAGAGACATCTCACAATTTTTACCACAAATTTAAGTTACGGTATATATTAAGAATCGTGGGGAGACCACTGTAATAGAATAAGATGTCTATCAGAATGTGCTACGTAGGACCGGATGGGCATTGCCTAGGCCTTCTTTATATTTACAATTTTTTTCACAATAAAAAGAAGTCATAGAGGCCATGCTGCCCGCCAATAACATTGAATTATCAAACGGTTAAAGCACCATAGACGCCATAGACCACTGTAGGTCGCGGTGCGAGGGCCGAGAACGCCGAGAAGGCCTACCCCTCATACATTCAATCACGTGCATGCATTCATGTGTTCATGTGAAACGTTGATGCTGGTCTTTGCTGGTCGTTGATGTCCATTGAGGTTGAGATTGCGGGGAANAACGGTGATGCTGGTCCGTGCTAGTCGTTGATGTCCATTGAGGTTGAGATTGCGGGGAAGAGCTTATTTTATAAAAGAGCATATAATTAATCCATTTATTTGTTATTGTGTAACTGTTAGTTTGCGAAGTTATATCGATTTGAACTGTTTTTGTGATTGTTTATTGGTTAATGAGTAAAGAAACGTAACCTACATGTGTAAAATTGTGATCTAACCCAGCAAACGACCAGGGTCCGCCATATTTGACCTATTATAGATGTGATCCAAGAATTGCGATATTATTGTGCGTGTTTTTTGTAATAATTATTCTGTATTGTTGTAATATAGTGTTTTGGTTTGTTTATTTTTATGTGTGTGTATTGGCGGAAGAAATCTCAAAATATAAGTTAGCTTTAGTGGAGTACAGGAGATCAGATGGGACGGAGGTGGCACCAAACCAGCAGGAGAATTACGTTTTTCTATGGAAAGGGGAGTGAGAATCGTGAATTAGGTACAGGTTTTTTCGTACATAAGAGAATCATATCAGCAATTAGGAGGGTAGATTTGGTTAGTGATAGNTTTTGAATGGGTGGAAGGACTACTCTCAGTTATTGAATGTACATAGGGTCAGTGATATTAGCAGATAGAAATACAGTATGCGCCAAAATATGCAGTACTGAAACTTGAGCATGTGAGTTTGTCGATGGGGCATAGCTTCAGCCGCACGTGTTCCCAGTAGTGAAAAGGAAGTTGTGTTGTGCAGTTGTTGGAAATGGGTCTCTTGACGGAGGAAGAAGTATTCATAGTTGAGTATTATTTCTGCTCACATGGAAGTGGTCACCAGACAACTCACTTCCTTGGTTTTGAGCACCCAGCTCTTATTATCCAGAAACCGCTACATAGTACACGTGATGATATGGTGTGCTGTCTCAGCACATGGTATATTAGGCCTCTATTTCATTGAGGATGAGGAAGGCAATGCTCTTACTATCACCCAAGAACACTACAGGGACATGGTGACTGGACCATTTCTTCAGGATTTGAGAAGGTTCTGTCACACAGGGGGCCTTCACACGAATAGACAGTGGTACCAACTTTCATATCAGTACTATTTTGGCGCATGCTGTACATACAGCTGAGCCGTTACTACCTGATCCTAGCCCTTTTGAGGTTGAAATTGCTGTTGTAAAACTGAAAAGTTATAAATTGCTAGGTAGTGATCAAATTCTGGCAGAACTTATTATTCAAACAGGAGGTGAAATATTACATTCTAAGATCCATAAACTAATTCTATTTTAAATAAGGAAGAAATGCCTGATTACTGGGAGGAGTCTATTATTGTACCAATTCACAAGTAGTAGTAGTAATTATCATGGGATATCACTGCTATCAGTGAGCTGGGATAGCACAGTTGGTATAGCAACTGGCAGTGAGCTGGACGACCGAGAGGTTCGAGCTGAAGTCCCAATAGGATAAAGAATTTTCACTTCTCCATGTCCAGACTGGGTCTAGGGTCCACCCACAGTGGGTATTGGGGGCTCTTTCCCAGGGATAAAGCAGGTGGGACATGACCGTAGCCACTCACCTCCAACTAGTGCCGAGGTCAAGAAAATATGGATCTGTATGTCCACTTCATATGCCTTCATGGCCTACTGCTTACTTATCTAAGCACAGGGATAACTTAACCTTTATGTTTTTACCTTAATAATATGTTACTGTTACTTGCACCAAAGACAAGTAATTATGCATATTTTCAGTTAAACCAGCATTTCATAAAGTTGTGTGTATTCAAGCTTGTGAAAAAGTGGTGGGCCACGGGTTCTATGTGTGACATAAAGAAGCAATCGAAGAGAATTGTGCTGACTGAAGATTCAGGATATTGAGGCATGACTACAGATCAGTCCTTGAAAATTGTTAATACACTTAGCACAGGAAACCAGTGTTTCACTAGGATCTGCTTTCACAGCCACAAAGTTAATCAAATTTCACCTGTATAAAATAACAGTTGTGCATGAGCTGAAACAACCAGATTATGCAGCAAGAATTTGTTTTTGCATCTGGCTACTGCAAAATGTGCACGATGGAATCATGGGTCCACAGCTTCTGTTCATGACTGATGAAGTGTGGTTTCATGTTAGTTGCCATGTCAGTGCACAAAATGTAAGAATATGGAGCAATGAAAATCCTCATGCTATACAGCAAGTGCCATGACATGGTGAAAAGGTGGGGGTGTGGTGTGCTGTAAGTTTGCAGTGAATCAAGGGCCCATATTTTTCTACGAAACCGTGAACTCTTGACTGCTACGTTAATGATATACTGAACCTGTTCGTCAATCAGCTGACTGCTGAAGAAAGACAATGNTGTATTCAGTAAATTCCATAAATGCCATATGAAAATTTTGTTAGGAAATTTCAATGCCAAAGTAGGCAGGGAAAACATTTTCAAACAATATAAGATGTGAAACCAGCATGCAATTCAGGAATAAGAAAAAAAGAGTATCGGAAAGACAAAATTGATTAGCTTGGAATGAACAGTAAGAACAAGAACTTTAGAGACCTGTATAGCCTAGCAGTAACTTAGTGAAGGATGAGAATTGTGATCTGCTTGCAGATTCCCACAACATTTTGAATGGGTGGAAGGACTACTCTCAGTTATTGAATGTACATAGGGTCAGTGATATTAGCAGATAGAAATACAGTATGCGCCAAAATATGCAGTACTGAAACTTGAGCATGTGAGTTTGTCGATGGGGCATAGCTTCAGCCGCACGTGTTCCCAGTAGTGAAAAGGAAGTTGTGTTGTGCAGTTGTTGGAAATGGGTCTCTTGACGGAGGAAGAAGTATTCATAGTTGAGTATTATTTCTGCTCACATGGAAGTGGTCACCAGACAACTCACTTCCTTGGTTTTGAGCACCCAGCTCTTATTATCCAGAAACCGCTACATAGTACACGTGATGATATGGTGTGCTGTCTCAGCACATGGTATATTAGGCCTCTATTTCATTGAGGATGAGGAAGGCAATGCTCTTACTATCACCCAAGAACACTACAGGGACATGGTGACTGGACCATTTCTTCAGGATTTGAGAAGGTTCTGTCACACAGGGGGCCTTCACACGAATAGACAGTGGTACCAACTTTCATATCAGTACTATTTTGGCGCATGCTGTACATCCAGCTGAGCCGTTACTACCTGATCCTAGCCCTTTTGAGGTTGAAATTGCTGTTGTAAAACTGAAAAGTTATAAATCGCTAGGTAGTGATCAAATTCTGGCAGAACTTATTATTCAAACAGGAGGTGAAATATTACATTCTAAGATCCATAAACTAATTCTATTTTAAATAAGGAAGAAATGCCTGATTACTGGGAGGAGTCTATTATTGTACCAATTCACAAGTAGTAGTAGTAATTATCATGGGATATCACTGCTATCAGTGAGCTGGGATAGCACAGTCGGTATAGCAACTGGCAGTGAGCTGGACGACCGAGAGGTTCGAGCTGAAGTCCCAATAGGATAAAGAATTTTCACTTCTCCATGTCCAGACTGGGTCTAGGGTCCACCCACAGTGGGTATTGGGGGCTCTTTCCCAGGGATAAAGCAGGTGGGACATGACCGTAGCCACTCACCTCCAACTAGTGCCGAGGTCAAGAAAATATGGATCTGTATGTCCACTTCATATGCCTTCATGGCCTACTGCTTACTTATCTAAGCACAGGGATAACTTAACCTTTATGTTTTTACCTTAATAATATGTTACTGTTACTTGCACCAAAGACAAGTAATTATGCATATTTTCAGTTAAACCAGCATTTCATAAAGTTGTGTGTATTCAAGCTTGTGAAAAAGTGGTGGGCCACGGGTTCTATGTGTGACATAAAGAAGCAATCGAAGAGAATTGTGCTGACTGAAGATTCAGGATATTGAGGCATGACTACAGATCAGTCCTTGAAAATTGTTAAAGACACTTAGCACAGGAAACCAGTGTTTCACTAGGATCTGCTTTCACAGCCACAAAGTTAATCAAATTTCACCTGTATAAAATAACAGTTGTGCATGAGCTGAAACAACCAGATTATGCAGCAAGAATTTGTTTTTGCATCTGGCTACTGCAAAATGTGCACAATGGAATCATGGGTCCACAGCTTCTGTTCATGACTGATGAAGTGTGGTTTCATGTTAGTTGCCATGTCAGTGCACAAAATGTAAGAATATGGAGCAATGAAAATCCTCATGCTATACAGCAAGTGCTGTGACATGGTGAAAAGGTGGGGGTGTGGTGTGCTGTAAGTTTGCAGTGAATCAAGGGCCCTTATTTTTCTATGAAACCGTGAACTCTTGACTGCTACGCTAATGATATACTGAACCTGTTCGTCAATCAGCTGACTGCTGAAGAAAGACAATGGATATTTTCAGCAAGACAATGCTACGGCACATATGACTAATGCATCCATGGTCCCAATATGGGAAGTGTTTGAAGACAAAGTAATCAGCAGGGGATTGTGGCCTCCCAGATCTCAGTTTTTGTGATTCTTATCTTTGGGGAAACCTAAAGAGAAAAGTCTACAAGAATAATCCTCGCACCACTGAAGCTCTGCAGAATGAAATAACATGCGTAATTGGTTCAGTTACCATGGACAACTGCAGAAAGTGTCACATAATTTATTTATGTGATGCAAGGCATGTTTGCAAGCAGAAGGGGGTCACTTTCAGCACCTGTTATAAAGCAAGGTAAGTTTGTGTTATCTTTTTACAGTATTATAAATATGTGCATGTACAGAACTGATGTGAGGGAATCAGCGACACGACTGCAGTCTTGCTAGCGGGGAAGGGCACAGTAGTTGGGGAGGAACCTACCGTCCACACCACACTGCTGTCAAGTTTCCTGTATGGCTGAACAGTCTGTACGTAAGAAGTGGCTATGTTATGTAGGAACAGATGTGTTTGTGTTCATGGGTTTGTTTTAAGCATTTGTTCACTATTTTGTGTGCTCCATTTCATTCTTCAAGTAGCAGGATAAGGTAAGGAATCCTACTCTGTTAGGCCCCGTTGGCCAGCGTTTGAGACTAGCACAGCCAAAGGGCCCAACAGAACAGGATTCTGTTTTTATCCTGTCTGTACAATATGAAGGAAACATTCAGTTTCTGACACTTTGTGGTTTGAAAAAAATTGGACTGCAGACAGTGTTCAAAATGTAATCATAAAAATCATCAGAAACCATAAGATTAATCAGTATTTGGATTATGTTGAGCATTGTATAATTATTACTGTTCATTTTACAGTTCTGGAGAAGCATCAGCGAAGAGGGCGCTGTCATAATTGTCAATCTCAGAGTGAGCCTGGAGCCTGCACAGAGCTACTCATCCCCTGCACAATAGGTACATATCAAATCAAATGAGTCATACCACTCGGCACACCAAAATGTTATTCCCCTCAAAAACGCATATCAGACAATTAATATAAATACGTAACGTGATCAACTTATTACTATAATATTATTATATTGTTATTTTATTATCATTAAACAGAAATTGACTCGTGCATTTATTAGCAATTAATGAACTTTAATTCACAGTAGAGTGTAGAAAATACACTTCTATTACTATTAAAGTAAATACAGTAATTCTACTCATACCTTCAATGTGATACTTGTGCCTGCGTAGCTGCACAGAGGCGACTGATCCGTGGTGGAATCGTTGACAACGCAAGTCTCATTT